AGTTCAATATTGTACGCTTAAGGTACCTATGATTGACATCATGTGTTAATGACGTAACTCGAAGCCTCTTGTTGTTGTTTTTTGGTTTTGGTTTTTTGTCGTCATTTTTGTTTAATGTAAAGTTTCGTTTGGAATCAAATACAGTTCTCACACATCAAAGAATGTTTGGTCAGTGTAGTGATGACTTTAGGTGACAATTTTAATGGTCCTTCGAGCCGGATGGAATCACGATGTGGTGAACTAGTAAAAAGAGATCTGTAGTTAAGCGGAGAATTACTGTCCACTTGAAAGCGTTGTCATCAGAAATCGGGCAGTTTGGAAGAAAATTCCAAATTCGAAAAATTGTAGCTGACTTGAAGCAATGTTTGCAAGAGGTGGAGCTACTAAATTTACAGTATTTAACCTTTATGCCTGAGATCGAACATGATAAAATACTGGAGTGGTATGATGTTGAGTTTGGCCGAGTCAATGACGCATTGGATGAAGCGTTATCTCATTTAAACGAACGCGAGAGCGAAGAAACCTCTCAAGCAACCTCAGTCAGTCGAAGATCTAAAGTTTCCAGTAAGAGTGATCCCGTAGTGATTAAAGCGAGAGCAGTAGCTGCCCAAGCCTTCGCCAAAAAGCCAAGAGAAAGTGCTAAAGAAAAGTTAAAAGAACTTGAAGGTCAAGCAGAGCTTCAAAAGAAATTATGGAAAGCTAAAGAAGAAGTTGAGAGAGTGAAAATGGAAGCAGAGCCTGAGCTCGAAAAGCAGCGTTCAATATCGGAAGAAGCTCAGAAAACTAGATTGATAGAGGCACAAGCAATTCATTTGGAAGTCGAGGCTGAAGCTTTAGAAAATGACGCTCATGGTCCTAGTAGCTTACAACAGAGACTTAAATATTTTGAAGATGAGGAGACTGTTCCCGTTAGTCCGAGTGAATAAACTGCGAAAGAGGTCAAACCTGTTCATGTACCTGAGAATCCCATGACATCCGAGGGTGCTCATATGTCAATTTCAACCCCAAAGTAGGGAATCAAGCATCAGCAGCTAAAAGTAAAGTTTCAAGACGAAGAAGGAGCCTCTAATGAAGGATTGCATGTTGAAACACCAGCAAACACAATTATCTTAAGATCATCCATGGATTCATTACCAAAATTGAAACTTCATTCCTTTGAGGGAGATCCAATTCGTTGGAATGATTGGTTGTCAATGTTCCAGTCTATTATTAATGATGCAGATATTTCCCGTAAAGCTAAGATGCAACATCTACAGAATGCAGTTGTTGGTAGAGCCAAAGAGGCTCTAGAAGGCTATGGTTATAGTGGAGAGTTGTACGTAGAAGCCCTTGAGAAATTGGAATCAAGATTTGGAAAGTCTCACATTGTTTTCAAAGCTCACTTAAAGCGCCTACGGAAATGGGTCAGACTGAGTGACGATCGTCTGCACGAAGTACGGCGTTTCTCAGATGGTATTTCAACTGCTGTTAAAACCTTTAAGCGCCTTGGTTACACCAACGATTTACATGCTGCAAACAACTTGAATATGGTGGTTGATAAGCTTCCTCATTCCCTTTGTGTCAAGTGGAAATAGTACAGGAGAGAGAAAGAGCTGAAACCTGCAACTCTTCTGGACTTCGAGAAGTGGATTGAAGTGCATACAGAAGTCCATGATGATTTTGGAGTGCGGACAAGCACGCCACCAATAGCTCCACCCGAGCATAAGTTAAAACATCACCGTGGAGGCTCAGCAATCTACAACGGAGTAACAGGCCCGTCTGGAAATTCTCCGCGTTTCAACCAAAGCGGTCAGTTTACCTCACCTGTCACATGTTTAGTTCCTCAATTTATCATGTTCGCTGACTTAAAACCAAACTTCAGCTAATTTAGTCCTTCGCGTGGTAGAATTTGCCGAAAAACACGAAATACTTTACCCCAGTCAGCTCGGATTTCAAAAAAATCACTCGAAATCGCACGCGCTAATTCATTTGGTAATATAATTACTTCTGCAATCGACCAAAACGAAACAACGGTAGGTGTTTTTCTAGATCTTTCCAATGCATTTGACACTCTCGACAATCAAGTCTTGTTTAACAATTTGGAGTACTTTGGGATCCGTGACGTGGCTCTGCAGTAATTGAAAAGCTACTTTTAATTTCTAGCTGCCAGCAATTTGCCCAATACAATCAAGCTTGCTCTCCAATGCAAACCATTAGGTGTGGTGTCCATCAAAGGTTCGATTCTAGGCCCTCTACTGTTTATTCCATACATTAATGAACTCCCTAATGCCTCTGAACTAACAGACCCTTTGCTCTTCGCTGATGACACGAGTAACTTTTATTCTCACCCAAACCCAATTGCTTCGAATCCGTACATGATAATGAACTCCAAAATATCGATGTTGGGCTAAAATGTACTAAACTCTCGGTAAATATAAAGAAGACTTGCTACCTCATTTCATACAAAATTCACGAAAACTGAAACGAGTGTCTGTAGCCGTAAATGGCGGAAATCAATGGCCGAGTAGAGGCAAACGAATTTTGCTCATCAAAGGTGCAAAAGAAAGAGGTCGTATCAATTCGATAAATTTGTATCCATAGGATTGAGGTATCTTTTAAAACTAGACGGGACCATTTCATTTTGGCAGTTTGACTAGACCGGTGCATTGCAACATTTTGGGAAACTTCGAGGAAATAATAATATTTAAAAGTGAGAACCGGAAAAACGCGTGAGCTAGAAAATTGTCCTCGCCGGAAAAGTCTCACTAATTCTTCGATCAGCCTTGCACGTTTCTCCTTTGGCATGGCTGGATAACTCTTCTAGAATGAACGGAATATTAATGACCCTCTCCTCCATCTAACGCCTTAATCGGACGTTTCTTATCTATTTTCTTTTCTTGCAATTTCTGAAATCATCGTTCAGACTAGGAAATGATGAACGGCTCATGAAGGAAAGGATTCAATAATTGAAGCTGAATGGCTCTCTTGACCATACTCATGCCTCCTTGTGCTCCGATATCAATAACCGCATATAGAGGACTCTTACACGAAGTATTAGGGACTTTAAGCAGTCTGGACGGCAACGGCAAAGAAGACTTGGATAAAAAAAAAAATTTCTGCCTTCGATCAGAATTTCAAAAATGGCTGCATCTGTTAACTGTCTCATACGGCGCCACACCTCAACTTCAGCATAACGTATAAAAAACGCGTTGAGTTTTAAATGGAAATAAAAATAATTTGCCGTCGCGTATTCCGTTCGCAGACGACGCAAAATTTGGTGATTTCCCGTTGTTGTTCCCTTTCACGCCAAGAATCTCAGTATCTATATTCTCCTTAATGCCTATTGGGCATTTCTTATCATTTTGACTCAAAATCAAAGAATAACTCTAAGGTCTTTTTTTCTTTGTTGTTAACACTCTTCCTATGGAAAATGTACAAATAGGACTGTAAAAGCGCAGAAACAGACCTTGTGGAGTGTACTTCATACAAGGTAAATAATGATGTTTAATTTGAACGGTATGTATCATTAAAAAGACAATTATTGCAACGATGAAGGATAAATTGTTCAGCACATAATTGATATTTGATTCATAAACCCTAACCTAAAACATCACACATAATTGATGGCAAATAATCTGACACCAAAAACAAAAGAGAAGTTAAGGAAGCTTTGAGTTATAAAAAACATTTTCAGTTTTAGTCGAAAATAATGTAATTTGGCCATATTTCTAAAAGTTTGATTCTATCAATAAAAAAGAAATGTTGGAAAGTAAATTCAGTTCAGAGCGCGTTCAACTTAGTGCTGTAAAACCCAATCATCAGAAATCACAACAGCCAACCAGAGAGGGGGAAAATACCCTGGTCGTTCCACAAAATGAATAACGTGGTTTAATTCACTAATTTACCATCGGTTATCTAGAATATTGAATTCCCTGTATAAATTATTCAAAGCTGTCTCACATTGAAAAGACGACTAAAGCGATGAAAGGGGAGAAATGATTCTGCAGTTTTATTTTGTTTCAAAATTATTTATTTTATTGTAAGGACTAAGGAGGTATACTTGCGTTCATATAATATATTCATTACGGTGGCTTTTTGCCCTCCGCCGGCTTTCTCTTAATTGCAAAGTGAAGGAAGCACATTTTCCTCTCTGTGCAGAAGGTTTTCTTTTATTCATTTATTGTGATTGATGATTGGTTGTCCTTTTATTTCGCTTTTTTACTCTGGCAATTTGGAAACTCATCGTTCAGACTAAGAATTGATGAACGACCCATTATGAAAGAAAGGATTAAATTATTCAAGAATAATGACATTCTCGACCACACTACTGCGTCCTCCTGTTCTGATATCAATAATCGCATATACACGACTCTTGCACAAAAAACATTGGCAATCCTTCTCCATCGCTGCAATAGCTTCATGATTGTGGTGTTTACGGACATAAAGAAAATACAAGTGGAAAAAGATCTTGACCAGCTTCTAACTTGAGATAGAGATATATCCCGTGAGTATTCTGTAGCAAATGAGCAGATTCACAGACACTTGATTTATAACATATGCTTTGGCGAGAGAAATAGGTATAACATATATATTGCTAAGGCGATGGGTTTTTTAAAAGTAGTAAAAATTGTCACAAGTTTCCACGAGAGATATCAGGTGTTTCTTTGATTCAAAGACGACATTTGATGGGGTGGTTTGAGTTTTTATTATCTTCGGACCACTGCATACTAAATTTCATGAAACCTTCTGTCAGATAAACCACATACAATATTTTTTTTTTCGTTTATTGCAGCTAAAAACTGCAGTCGAAGATGTTTCAAGCAACTTGCCCGGATCCTTTTGGTCGCTCGAGAGCACAAATTTCCTTCGAAGTAGCCTTCGCCATTCTCATTTCCCTCGCTTCTATTGTTGGTAATGTGCTGGTTATTTATGTAATTAATAAACACTCCGAGATGCAAACCATCACCAACATTTTTATTCAAAATCTTGCACTGACTGATATCTTCATGGCGACCCTTAATATGCCGTTCTGGGCTGCAGGCTTGTACGCGGGAAAGTGGAATTTTAGCCAGGGATGGTGTGACGTTTCCGCAACAATGCTACTTACTTTGGGCTGGGCCTCCATGTTAAATGTGGGTTTAATTGCCCTGAACAGATACGTAAAAGTCGTAAAGCGAGCCTTGTACAGTGTGCTTTTCCCCAGCAAAAGAGTTGCTTGGTTGTACTGTGGTGTGGTCTGGTTGGTTTCTGTTTTAATCGCCACGCCTCCGTTGTACGGATGGGGAAAACTGAAGTTCGACTCGGATTCCTTTCTTTGTATCGTTAACTGGAAGGAAGGACACTTTTCCTTCGTCATAATGATTTCTGGGGTCTTTAATGTAATAACATGTGTGATATTTTACTCCTACTGGAAAATTTACCAAAAAGTGAAAGAAAGCACAACTAAGATTAACGCAAATGTCGCGCAAAACGGTGTAGGCGCACCGAGGCTTGATCGTACTGATATCAAACTTTTTAAGGCTTGTTTCACGGTGGCTTGCTTATTCTTATTGACATGGGGTCCTCCGTGTATAGTTGGTTTTACAACTGCTGCTGGAGGGTATGCTCCACCAGATGCACATAAGGTAGCTACATATCTGCTTTTCTCCTGTAGTATCGTAAATCCAATCATTTATGGGATTGTAAATCCACAGTTTAAAGAGGCCTTCAAGAAGGCACTATGTTGTGGTTGTCACGGCAGTCATAATGCAGATCAGAACCAAGCCAGAATTGTAGAGGAAGTAATCCGTACTTTTTAATTTTAAGAATTGATTCACTTTGAATTTGGTCTTACAGCCTCATCGCGTTATCCCGAGAAACAGATGATCACGTCATAAACCACTTGGCAAAACACGTTAAAATTTATGAATCCAACGCTCTTAACTAATTAAAAAGAAATGCGTCAGAGTTAAGGCGAGAATTTCAAAATAAAATCTTTGAATTCAGAGAAACTGCCATTCAGAACTGACACCGAGAGCTACTCGGGCGTGAAAAATATTCAGACTATACTATTCGCATACGTCTGTGCGCTGTTGATTAGATTTTTTGAATGAGTCCATGATTGACATAACTAATTTTTAAGAAATGCTAGCAATAAATACTACTCATCGAATCATGTTTGATCAGGAAATTCCCTTTCCGTTTGAGAGAAGTGGGATCGTTGTACTGCATTTTGAAATTTGAAGGCTCTGCCATAAAAGTCACAGGTCAAGACCTTGTTATCGCAATGTGAATTGTAATTTTATGTATTATGTGAAAGTCGACTTTATTAGCTTTTTGATCTGAGTCAAACGGCCCTATTTATTTTAGATGGGATGCCAAATGTATTTTTAACGGAAAGTCCTCTGTGGAAACATCCAAGATATATGAATTATTGACCAGGCGTGAGGTCAAGTTTGCTGAATGTTGGACCGAGACGAAGGTGAGAACGAGGCTGATATTCAGGCACCTTAACCGAAAAAGCTTGTATTGGGCAATAAAGGATTTATTTTATAGAAAAAAGATTTCGCTTTCATAAGAGTCAAGAGTGACTTTTATTTCTAGAGCCTGTAAAAAAGGCCACTGTGTTTGTAGCACAATAAATCTAGGAGGGTCGTTTAAGTTTTTCTTTGTTTTAGCTGTCCTCTATCTCTTTTTGCGACTTCGTCGCCGACATTGGTAAAAAAATACGAAGGTTGTAAGTACGGTCCACGCATCTTTTTTCTTGCGCGGGATCTGAGCGGGCAATCCCAGATGAACTGTCGTTCTCATGATCAAGTGATTAAGAATGATTAAAATATCATTTTTGTGGTGTTTAATATTGGATCATTCTCAGCCTCAAGGAAAAGAAAATTAAACTTTCAAGCCAGCGATGTCAATCGGTCCGGGAAACACTTCAGTTCGCGAATAAATGAACATGTTCAAAAATTGACGTTTGTTCGCAAATGCCAATTTTTGCCCTATGCGTTTGACTTCAACTTTTTAATTAAAAAAAAGGAATATCCACGCTTCATTCTCTGTTTCACCCCTTCATTTCGTTTATATTCTCTAAATACCCTCTTTCTTTGCCCAGTATCTTCTTCATAGTAATTTTCTCTTGTAATACAAGCCAAGTCCGTGTGAACCTGTCATCCCACTCGCTTTTTCAGATATGTTGCTGACAATGATAAGGAATTCCTTTCGTATTAATTTAGCCGTCATGTTTATCACAGATGCTCGAGTTCTTCATGTTGCGATTCACTTGTGCAATTTTCCTTTGATAAGGACAGTCATATTAAAATTTAATCACTTTCCCTAGAGCGTGCAGAGGATCGCACAACAGGGCGAGGCTCCAATATAAGTCAGCCCAATATCCCACCCATCCCACCCCAGGGGAGGACATCCATTACACAGTAATCTCGTGTGTGGGAAATTAACGTCTCCTACCCCAACCCTTCTGGAGACGGGACCTCCATTTATTCGTCCCTATCCGAGAAGACAAAAATATCTAACCATTTCTTGATGTTAGCATATTCTTCTCAATTATTTTAAGACCCTGAGTGTTGGTCCGGCCGGGGCTCGAACCCTCGACCTCCCGCACAACAGTCCAGCGCTCTATCTATTGAGCTAACCGGGAGGCGGTTAATACAGGATTAATTAAGCCACAAAACTAGATTTCAATAAATGTAGAAATTCTCCGGCTTGCGCTCGTCGATCGAGAACTATTGTTTCTAAAGCTATAGATCATAAATAAGAAGTAACATGTAACGCAACATCCGTGAGCAATATTTCCCACTCGGAGGAATAATTTTTCTCGTAAACACAATCACAAACTTCCGAAATGTGGATAATGACGAATGTCCGAGTTTTAAGATCGACCTACTCGGCGAAAATTTTGACGAAGAACTTGTCAACGTTGACGAAAAAAACGATTAAACCTCCTTCAATCAGTTTTTTCAACGAAAAAATGGAGTTTGTTTTGATATCCTGTCATTTACCAAGGCTAATCATGGAGAGTTTCACTGCACGTTTTAAAATATCGGACTCGAGTAACCAACTTGTCATAATTTAACACCCGTCGGAAAGGATGTCGGAGGAATTGGGTTGCGTCACGACAAATTTACGTTATCACTCCACGAGGCTCTTGTCGTTTCGTTACATTTTTTCATATTTACTTCAGGTTGAATTACAAAAGAGGATGTATCAAGCAACTTTTTCAGATTCTCTTGGCCGCACGGGGGCAAAAATCACTTTGGGAGTAACCTTCGCCATTCTTGTTTGCCTCGCTGCCATAATTGGTAATGTGCTGGTTGTTTATGTTGTAAATAAATACTCCGAGATGCAAACCATCACCAACATTTTCATTCAAAACTTTGCACTGACTGATATCGCCTCGGCGACTCTTAACATGCTGTTCTGGACAGGAAGCTTGAACATGGGAAGGTGGAATTTTAGTCAGGGATGGTGTGAAGTTTCTGCATTAATAATAGTCGTTACGGCTAGGGCCTCAGTGTTAAATATGGGTTTAATTGCCCAGAACAGATATATAAAAGTCGTGAAGCGAGCTTTGTATATCAAGTTCTTTCCCAGTAAGAGAGTAGCTTGGATGTACCGTGGCGTCATCTGGCTGGTTTCTGTCCTATTCATCACACCTACGTTGTACGGATGGGGAAAAATAGACTTCGATTCAGATCTCTTACTCTGTTTCTTTAAATGGAAGGAAGGACACTTTTCTTTGGTCGTGATGACTGCTGGGTTCTTTAACGGGATGGCAAGTACAATAAGTTACTCCGACTGGAGAATTTACCAAACAGTGAAAGAAAGCACAAACAATATTAACGCAAATGTGGCGCAAAACGATGTCGACGCGCCAAGGTTCAATCGCGCCGATATCAAACTTCTTACGACTTGTTTCACGGTGGTTTGCTTCTTTTTCACCACATGGGGTCTTTCATCCATTATCACTAGTTTAGCCTCTTATGGAGTTTCCGCTCTTCGTGTAGCACTTAAGATAGCCCCTTATTTTACGTTCTCTGGTAGTTTGGTAAATCCAATCATTTATGGGATTATGAATCCGCAGTTTAAAGAAGCTTTCAAAAAGGCACTAGGATATTAGTGTTATGGCAATCATAATGTAGGTCAGAATCATGCCAGAGCTGGTGCTGCAGTAATACATACTCTTTGACTTTCCGTCGTGCCTTATCAAATAATTTCGTCTCAAACCAAATATTTTCCTTTCCGGCACTCCCACAAATTAAGTACACATAATTTGTGCACGCATTTACTCGATAAATTAGATTTTCATAAAACTTTAACCTAAAACTTTCAGCTCATTTTCAGAAATTACGGGAGCAAATACTCCTTATCGAATCATTTTTGTTCAGTAAGAGTGAAGAGGCATCTATGCACTGCATTTTGAAATTGTGAAAGATTCGCATCACGAGTCATGAGTCACAGCTCTGTTCAGGTCATTTTTTATTTTATTGTATTATACTAAAGAAGCATTTATGCTCTCTTTCGAAATAGGTTAATCAGGTTTTCTACTTAATATATTCTTAGTAGCCGACAAAATATTTGCAACACTGTACCCTGTCTTTTATGCATCAACACTGTGATGAGCAGGGGTCAGAGAAAATTGAACTGTGCAAACTACAAAAGCAGGTACAGTTGTTTACTCAGAGGTAAAGTCGATACTACAACTACTACTTTAAAGAGGGTGCTAAACGTGTGTTTGAAGATTATAAATGTACAGTGAAAACGTAAAATAATCTGATATCATACATATGATGCACGATCCTCGCAGGAGATAGCGCTATTTAAGCAATAGCGAAAATCAGACCTGAAAAAAACTCAGGCCTGTACGGGATTCGAACCACTGACCTCTGCGATACTTGTGCAGCGCTCTACCAACTGAGCTAACAAGCCAACTGGGAGCAGGCCGTTAAGTTGATTCGTAATAAACCCGTGAAAGTGATAAATGAGATACAATGAAATATATGAGGTTCATATATTTTGTACTGCGGTATTAGATACATATGATGCACGATCCTCGCAGTAGATAGCGCTATTTAAGCAATAGCGAAAATCAGACCTGAAAAAAATCAGGCCTGTACGGGATTCGAACCACTGACCTCTGCGATACTAGTGCAGCGCTCTACCAATTGAGCTAACAAGCCAACTGGGAGCAGGCCGTTAAGTTGATTCGTAATAAACCCGTGAAAGTGATAAATGAGATACAATGAAATATATGAGGTTCATATATTTTGTACTGCGGTATTAGATACATATGATGCACGATCCTCGCAGTAGATAGCGCTATTTAAGCAATAGCGAAAATCAGACCTGAAAAAAATCAGGCCTGTACGGGATTTTCGCTATTGCTTAAATAGCGCTATCTACTGCGAGGATCGTGCATCATATGTATCTAATACCGCAGTACAAAATATATGAAC